GATTGATTTTATATCTACCCAAACCTTATTAAATAGGTAGGCTAGACATCATCATATATGTCAAGTTCTTAATATAAATCGATAAACTACTCAGTTATAATTATAATAAGGCACTATGGCTGTTATCAGTAAAATAAAATTAACAAAAGTCATTAATTCATTAAAAGTCAAAATCTTAACAAAGAGGAGAATGCTTTTACACTGCAATTACATTTGCATAAAAGTTATGAGATTAATGGGTAACACTTTATTTGAAGGGGTATGCATAAGACTGACACGACACTGTCATAAACATGACATAACACCTGTCATGAACATGAGTCTTTATGAAGGTTTATGACTGTTGTCATTAAGTGTCATTCGGTAAATTATGACACTTTTAAGGCAAATGTAGCAGGATGGGTTATGACCCCTCCTACTTGTTTGTGGTTTGGCCAATGGCTTGTCACCTGTTGCGTATAAGAGCACGGAAGACCAGTTCATTGATGTGCGTCATTTTCTGGGGCTGTAACGTCACCCTCGCGCCTAGTCTCGCGCAGCCAGACCTTCAGACTGACGGCTGGAATTCATAGCAGCTTTCTTTGGTCAAGGCCCGCCCATAAGGCCGTTTGACCGATAGGTCAAACAACCAATTACAGTTCGTTTCGTTCAGCGTCACGTTTCGCCTACTAAATAAACACCTCACCTCCGGCGCCGCGCACTCGCTACATTCCCTTTTGCCTTTATCACATCTAGTGGATGCATAACGCAAACCCAGTCAAACGTTTGACTCTGCAGTATCTTATGCGCCTTATAATCCAGGGTGTGCCCTATATATTAATACTGAATCGGCCAGCTGCGATGTCAGCGTCTGTTGTTTCATGTTTGTCCACAAACGCGGCTGATATCCCCACTCGCAATTAAGTACTTCACTTGATCTTCCATAATAGATAGGAGGGGACATACAACTACGTTTAGCTGATCTTGATTAATGCTCATTGTCACTCACATAGGTCACTCATATAAACACAACAGTTTTTCTTCCGCAATCACACATCTGCGCTTTGTTTCCCGGCGGACCGAAAATAAAGGCGACACTGACGCCCACTGACGCCCCCCGGAAATCCGATAAAGTTCAACCAATCAGATGACGACTTCGACATTCCTGAAGTGTTTCCAGTTAAGTGTACCATATGCATCAGACGTTTAGCCAACGTTCCGTGGGCGTGACGTCTGAGGCTGAGACTACCTCGCGCCCTGCTGCTTTCCTGGCTGGAGTGCACTGTTGAATGGGTTGCCCGTAAACACAGCTGAAGCTGCTATCTAATGGCTGTGATGTCTACTGGGTGTGGGTGCTTCCCATAGAGTCAGGTGTGGACCATTGAGACAGGTGAGAGAAGCGTTTGTGTTACAGTGCTTTTGGGAATTTGACTAATCTGTGTGCTTCATGTAGTGTACAACCTATCTGCCTTCCGGCCAATGAGTTTTGTCAGAGACATTTGGCTCTATCCACCGCATAGTTTGCATGTGATCCGGAGAGAGCATGTTTTGCTCTGAGTATATTACTCGAGTGTGAAGCCAAGGGTGAATGATTCGCAGTATAATATCTTTTGTTTGTTTTTAGGCACGCGTTAAGGGAAATAGCGGCGTTCCGAATGAGTATTACCTCATCCTAAAGTGCTGATTGCTCCAACGTCCTGCTTCATCAACATGTTTCCACTGATTTTCCCGCGTCTAGCATGGGAAAGAAATGTTTCTCATGACTTTATTTTTAAGGTGAACTTCCTGGGCTTAGGCTCAATGGGCTCTATGCACGGCGTTATTTCCGGTGAAGCATTAGGGATGCTCGATAACTTCCGCCGATCATAGAGTCCAATGCAATACCGAGAATTTATATTGAATTTTATACTCCATGGTTCTACTAATGAAACGTTAGTCACAAAAACAGATAAAACAGACACCCCTCGTTGTGTTTATGCTTCTTTTTAAAATTATATTAAATAAACATAACTATATATAAAATTACATCTAAACGTATGTACGTTTCGTTTCAAAGACGGGAGGACAGTAAATATTGAAGACTCTGCCATAATCCCGTTTTCTCCGGTTTTCCTCCGCTTTAATCTACACAACCGGAAATGGACGAGCATCCTTACGTCAAATGCGGAACTTATGCGTGCATATAGCCCATAAGGAAGTGTGATATGCTTAGTGTTTTATTTCTTTCATTGATTTCCATGTTTTGAATTTCTATTTTTTGTTTTCATTTCAATTGTGACCAGTGAATTAATGTGTTCCTTACAAACACTTTTGCTTAAAGGAACACTCCGACTTTTTGGGACTTTAGCCTATTCACCTTATCCCCCAGAGTTAGATAAGTCCACACATACCTTTTTCATCTCCGTGCGTGCTATAAGTCTGTTTGACGCACCCACCGCTAGCCTAGTGTGAGATTACAAATTTTATTAATATGTTTAATTTGATGTTTTAAATGGAGAAAGTCTCTAAATCTTTGAAAACAGTAGGAGTTCCCAGCATGACACTCCTGACTGTCTTTTGAACCACACGGGAAAGCTATGCCTTTCCTGTTTCTCGTCGCACCGTGTGAAAATGCCTGTTTGAAATGAGAACAGCTGCTACTGTATGTTAATGTCTGAGACCATCTTGACTGTCCTGTGACCACACGGGAAAGTTTGTCTTTCCTGTTTCTCGTCTCACCGGGTCAGTGGAGCTCGAGGGTCACATGCATTTACATTTGCTTTGTTTCAGTGTCTCCACCTTTAGGTAATCCCACCCTCTTTGAAATGTATAAATTAGAATGTAAGGTTCTTTTAAATCAGACTATCCTTGAGATGACTACAGCTACGCAATAAAGAACTTCTGCGTGAAAGGTACCTCAAGAGTCTCCTGGTCTGTTGCGTGGAAGAATAAAAAACTTCACTACACTAGCTTAGCACAAAGACTGGATGTGAATGGTTGCAGCTTTCATACTAATCCAAATGAGTGACAAAATAACGCAAACGTTTTCCTATTTACATGTTGTGGTTTGTATAGTCACAGACTGTACAAATATCAAGGCCATATGAGACACAGACATCTTTTAAAAGTATAAATACTATATTTTCTGAAGGCGAAGCACTGCTACTTGGGCAGAGTGATAACCATCACCTGAGACGCACCGTGAAGAGGAGCAGAGAGTTCGCTCAGTGTTGGAGTAAAGAGTCAGCAATTACTAACGTTAGATAGAAAAGCATAGTTTATCATGGGTGTTTACTTTATTGTATGAGCTGTGACAATAAACAGGGGAGACCAGGTAATACAGTACCATGTTTCATTGAATTCCAAACAAAAACGCATCCAGATTTATAAATATCACAGAACATGAATAAATTATTATTATTACAGGAATCAATATATTTTAAATGCAATTTATTAGCTGAACCAAATGTATTCAACAGTATATAATATACAGTATAATTGCATTACTATATGATAGAATAAGGGGAAAGTAATAGCACAAATTGTTTTTGCACAATGAACTCACAGCCTATCGTACCCTTTTGCACGCTCAAGTTCGTTATTTCCATGGTTATTTCAAATTTAGGCTACTAGGCGCGCAGGGTGCAAGTTCAACGCGCTCGTTTTTTTCCAAGCGCGTCCGCGCCGCATCAAGATAAAAACATATTCATACCCTAATCATATAATAGTGTCACTAACGTTACATTAGATCTGGCTAAAGGCACTGTTACAGTAGGTCATCTAAAAACATAACGGAACACTTACCTCAGACGCAGGTGATCCACTTGTCCTGTCTGTGCTATAGATGGGATGGCCGTATCCTTCAGCACATTATGGTCCGTGTGGCAAATTCCATTTTTTCAAAATAGTCGTCCTCATTGAAATGTACCGAGCAAACATAATATCCCTTGATAATCTATTTAGGTGTGTTTGGATCAATATCCAGAGTAAGTAAGTTAGCCATTTCTTCATCCAGTCAGCGTTTTTAGTTGGAATTCTGTGAAACATGGTATTACCTCCCCTGTTTACTGTCGCAGCTATTTACAATAGAGCGAAAACCCATGACTGTAAACTACGCTTTTGCTATTTATAAATTGCTGGCTCTGTTACCCAAACACTGAGCGAACTCTCCGCTCCTCACCATGGCGTGTCTCCGGTGATGCGGTTATCACTCCACCAAAGTAGCAGTGCTTTGCCTTCAGAGAATAGTTCCCAGGTTTTATACTGTTAAAAGATGTCTGTGTCTCATTTGACTTTGTTATTTGTACACTCTGTGACTATACAAATCACAACATGTAAATAGGAAAACGTTTGCGTTAATTTGTCACTCATTTGGATTAGTATGAAAGCTGCAACCATTCACATCCAGTCTTTGTGCTAAGCTAGGCTAGCGGTGGGTGCGTCAAACAGACTTATAGCACGCACAGAGATGAAAAAGGTATGTATGGACTTATGGGGGATAAGGTGAATAGGCTAAAGTCCCAAAAAGTCGGAGTGTTCCTTCAAGTCAAACTGCTGAATTTATTGGATTATTTCATTTAGTGATTTTATTTAATTTAGTTTTCTTTGCATTTTTGATTGTGATGACTGGAGGGTGACCAAATGGTTGGTCCCTTCTGGGGATTATATTAATTTGTTGTATTTTGTTTTCTGTACATATCAAGGCTCTCTCTTACTGTCTTTTCTTCATTTGTCGGCAGGACATGGGCACCCGGGGGGCAGACGAGTGATCTTTTTGTGGTGGCATCCTCACTGTGTATCATGGTCTTCTCTGACATGAGTTGCTGAGTGTGTGCTTGTGGGTGTGTGTGCACCACAAAAAGAGTGATTTTTCTAAGAGTAATATCTTGAGACTGCCCCTGTTGGTAAGCCCAGGTTCCTCTGCTGCCAACGATATGATTTAACAAATTGATGAGAGTGATTGTGTCACGGGAACACACAGGGAAACAGGTGGATCAAAATGTAGCATATTTATTATCAGGGCAGTCCAACTCATAGTCATCCATGCAGGGGTCAAAATCCATTTTAGCAGTCCAATAAACAAATAAACAAGAAACAAAACAAGAACAGGCAAGAAAACAGACCTCGGAAGTGTTAGTGACAATCAGCAACGAATCCGTACACAAACTAACACAGACAGGAAATATATACACAGAACTAACAAGACTAACACAGAACAGGTGGGAACGTCTCGGTTACGGATGTAACCCTCGTTCCCTGAGTAGGGAACGGAGACGTTACGTCAGAAGTGACGGAGATTGGGGGGTTTCGCATAGAAAGCCAATCCTCTTCGAGTATTTAAAAACGAGCCAATGGCATGCAATGCCTTGGGGCTGCGAAAATTTGCATAGCGTTGTTAGGGGTTAACAGTTAAAGGACCCAGAACCAGATATGAAGAATGAAGACCCGGAGTCGGAATTATAAAAATTAAAGAAAGTTTTACTGAACATAGTTTGCCATTTCATCAGCAGAAGTCAGCTTCAAGACTCCCTCAGGAGTTCGTAGGCCGCGCCCTTACAGTTACAACAATCACAGCAGTTATACTGTTTTCAAGGTCTAAGCTACGTCATTGCTTACACGTTGAATGATTCTCATTGGCTACGATATAGATAAACACAGTAATTTTCCACACATATACAGATAGACGAAACATATCTCCATCGATGAGGCACGTCATGACCTTCCAGGTCACAGATTTGGGTTGCTGGCGCCAGTGTGTCCAGAACAACAACTCATTCAATCTCCAATAATGGCAGTGGTTCTTAACCTGCAACCAAGAAGACTAACACTAAACTTTAGTCTAACTGGAGTAAGACTTTAACAAAGAAATAGTGCCTTAAACTGTTGGCTTCAATGACCCCTTTATGTTTTAACACTCAAACATAAACCAAATCTCTATTTCCCTATTATTTTCACTGTTACTGCGTTCACATAGGACACTAGCAAATAGGAGCTCCTATCAAGGCTGAAGAGAGTCTGAGCGTCTTATTATCAGTTAAGTGTACCAAAACATAATGGTAAAACATTCACTTTGTTTGGGAGAAAAACAGATAACATTTGCTTCTCAGAAAGCAAATATAATAGAAAGAATACAGTTTAATATAACAATTAAAGTTCAATAAAGCAATGCTCAATATAGCTTGACCATCTGTACAGAGAAGTATCATATGTGTTGGACATATGTGTTCACGACGCCTTTATGATCCATAAACCTTTCTCCTGAGACCAGAGAAAGAGACAAATGGCCTTGTGCACCTAAAAGAAGCTGGTGACTTGTGCATGTACATCAGCATGCATTTAAGAATATTATTTCACAAGCAAAAGCACAAAGAATACATTTATGTCAATAAATGATTAAGTAACAATAAACATACTTAATTATTGATTTTATAAAAGAAATACATAATCATTCAAAATTATATTATGAAATATATACTGAAGAGGCAAGGGATTTTGACCACCCCTTCAGTCCCCCGTTTTAGACCAATGTGGGGTCCAATACCGCCACGTCTGGTCTAACCAGTGAGGTCACTACGGAAGGGGGAGTGGTGACGCATGATCCCCTGACGGGTCACACTTGTCTCTTCACCTCGTCACGGACATGCTGGATACTAAAAATTCCAGTCCCCATTAAGAGGCTCTCCCACCTTCCACTCACAACAGGACATCAATGTCATTCTTCCTCAATTTATCAGTCAGATTAACATTTTTATAAAACACATAACTGATTACGAAACAAGTACATATTTATTCTCTGGAAGCCGGGCTAAATAAACAAGCACTGTTGCTGTATTCCTAGCATGGGCTAGACCCGCAGTCACTACTCAGATCCTAAATAAGGACATTGTCTATAATCATGAATACCAGAATATAAGCACTATTTTTTATTCATTTATTTAAAACCATAATTTTCAAATCCTTTTATCATAAACAATGTTGGATAGTTAATCCATTATTTTCACTACCCCCTTTATAGACCCTTTAGGTTCAAAACACAATGGTTGTCTAACAAAAATATAACAACAAAAAATAAAATATTAATAAGATCACTGATAATCGATTCAAGCACTTTTAAGTCTTTACTGAAATTATCAATCAGTTTACGGTCACAAAGCATGTATCAGTTTAATTGTATAACACCTTACACCTGTTTTATTATTATTGTTTCAAAAATAGTAATAAAATAAAACAAATCCACATCATCAGTTTAATTATTATTTTACCACTAAAATACAGAATTTTCCCCATTCTGCTTAATAAAGCTTTTGTCCATTCCTTATCTTTATATCACGTTAAACCCTGTTAATCATACAATGCCTTATTTTTATTCTGAAATATTTCATACCATTTAAACTTAATTTAACCTACATTTCTTCCATCTTTACCTATTTACCATGCCAGTTCCTTCTGCATCCTTTCCTTCCTTTTCTCTGCCTCATCTAACCAGTTCATAATTGTTTGCTTACAATCCACACAAACATATCTCACAAAACAACCTTTTTGTTTTTCACTTCCCTCTTCCAACAAGTCTCTCACCTCTGTCAGCCTAGTGACACTTAGAGTTCCCTCGTTAGGGAAATTACTTTATTAATTCTTCAAAACCCTTGGTTTCTTATCATTAATTTCTTTATTTTTCCTTATAACTGCTTTTCACAATATTTGTCTATCAAATGGTTAGTCTAAAGAATATTAGAAAAATAGAAGTCTAAAAATATTAACAGTATCGTCTCAGTCCCACTTATCTTTACAGTTTTACAGAAACGAAAATATTATCTTATTCACATCGCAACCTCTAAGACAGCCATAAAGCTGCTTTCTCATTTAACCTTTATTAACTAAATTGTAGTTTTCTTAGACATCTAATGTCAAACATCCATTCAATGGATTGAGAAATAACAATTTTTTTAGAAGTTATATTCACTCCTCCTTTGTTCGCCCACCGGCCTTTCATAACAAAATGAGGGAGCTCTCTCTGGATAATTTGGATAGTGACTCAGCCGATGTGTCACTTTGTCTCTCTGCCGTCAAGTCTATAATTTCTTTTATTTACGTTTATCATTAAGATCCCACATAGTCGTCTATTTAAATGTAGACCCTCAGTTGAATTTAGAGAAGAGTTTTTACCCCATAATGGACGGCAATCTTCAACTTTACAATTCCAGTTTATTTAACATACTAATCCAGAGAGTAATTCAGAACAATATCATAAATGACAAAAGTATTTATAATTACCAATAGCAGACAGAGCTGGAAAACGACTCCAATTAAAGCTCGTGCCATGTTCTGTATTGTCTTTTCATCAGATTGACTCAGAAATGTCAACTTTTTAAAAGTTTGTCATTCCACTTAACCCATCTGTAATGTTAAAACACTCATTCCAGAGGTTAATGACACAATATCCTCAAAATCAGGAAATAATAGTCCCCAAACCAACACATATAAAACATAAAGTGCCGTCACCAAAAATATACACACATTCATACACTGTAAAAAAATATTTTCAAGATTTGTTATCACAACATATTTTCTTTTGTCAAATCAACTTTATAATAATTTCTTTAGTTGAAATAACTTATTATTTTGAGTTTCTGATGATTAAATTAATCTCCTTCATTGTATTAACTCACTTTTTCCAGTTCAATCAACTTAAAATTTTAAGGCAACCCAGGTTACTTACTTTTTTTAAGTTAAACCAACAATATTTTTTTACAGTTTAGTTATCACCACATTTTTTTTCTTGTAGCTTTTATTTAATTGTTTATGGTCTCTAAACCAGTTTCAAAGCATGCCTGCTTATTATTCATTTACTTTTAGACAGTCAGCTGGATTGTTTTGGTTCATTAACATTATTTTGTTTAAGCTTCCTTTAGCAGGCCAAAACAGAAAGGCGGACACAGTTTCCATCCCTTCCTCCACTCAAGTCTCTCTCACTATAACAAAATAATCTTTTTAACAGCCTCCTAATACTGTAACTTTTAGACAACATTTAAACTCATTGCAATATCCTTTGACCATTCACCTTTGTTATCTAGACTCTTCTTAAATCTTCAAAAGCTGTCTTCATCTTTAGTCACCACCATGTCTAACGACCTTCAGGAGTCAAAACTATGTTAGACATATTCTAAATCTACACTATAATTTTCCTTGCCCATAAGGTAACCGACATCCAAAGGTTTTGTTACTGTCTCCGCAACAACAAATGGGAATCACTTCATGGCCCTGACTGAACCCCGAAGCCCCCTTCCTGTTAGCTCTTTATCTATAATCTCCATCAGGGTGTGGTCCCCTGGCATACATAGAGCTTGTCATAATGAGAAACAAGCCATACAGTGAATGCGGTTTCTGGTGAGTGGGATAGAGGGACTTACGTTCCTGGGGCAGACTGCCGTGACTCCTCACAGCTCCATCCCCCCTAACGATACAGGATGCTGTTGGCCTCGCAGACACCCGTCCACTCTCATACCCAACCTCACGTAAACACCTCCATCAGGAGATGCCCAGTGTCTGCGTGATCCCCCTGCCTTAGGTTGCCTCCTATTTGGCCAAAGAAGGTCTTACCCGTCATCGAGATGACCACTCGTGCACACATGGTAACCGCCATTTTCTCAAAACCGTTTTCTTCAACAAAATCTGTTGTTTCTGGAGCTTAGGAAAAATATTCAAGAGTCACCAGGGCCATTCGGATTGCCTAATAGTTGTAACACAGGGAGACAGGTTAATAACAACAGTATTCAATCACTTAAATCCATTAACCATCTTAAAAGCAGCAACTAGCTACTCAGTGGATTTAGATCACAACCGAACATTCAGTGTACTTCATCTGTAGGCGGAGCCATCAGCCCCGCCCCCGTTTCATGGTGGGGACTAAGATCTTCAGACAAAGAAGTTACTGGTTCACAAACAACCTAGTCAAAGATCTATCTTCGTTTCGTCTATTATTATTTTAATGACTTCTTGAAAGTCCTTCAGTTTTGCTTTTAAAACATTTAAAATACAAATTGCCTCTGAATGGCAATGATTTCTCTTAACATCTCTGTGTCTATGATCTTCAACTGAAACACTGTGTTTTAATACAAATAGCTTATTATCACTAATGACACAGGCTCGGATAACATCTTTAGCTGACATTGAATGAGAGAGAGACTGTGAGGTATTCAGGACTGGTACTGCACGCTCATAAACTTCTAACATCAAACTTTATCCCATCGTTTAACTCTATTCCAACTTAAGGCATCTTTGCCAGAAATTACATACGGTTTCAAATAAACATTATTTACATTTGTCTTTTGCCCACATCAGGGAATTAAGGCATTACTAATTTCCTCTCAGATTGAGTCTCTGTTGCACTGGCAGTTTTCAGCCACAGTACACATCAGATTCAGATAACCAAACTGTTTCATTACAGCCAAAAACAAACTTATCTTTTTGAAAGCTAAACATCAGCTTCTAGTTCTTTCATGGTCAACTTCTCAAGTTGTTTGTTTAATCAACATTCAACAACTGCTAATAAAGTACTGCTTCTGCTTATTTGTTTTTAAAATAAAAATAATTATTCTTGTTCTCAATAACGTTTCTCATTTCTCAATCTCAATTTCAATCGTCGAGTTCTCCATAGTTTAATATTTGACTTAAGTTTTCTCTTGGAGTTTATCAATCTCCAATTAGGATTCACACTAACTTTGATGAGGCAAGCACTCTCTGCTTGTGATACTTTTACAGTTATTGTAAATCATCTGTGCGATTAGTCTCTCTATATCATCTAAAACCTTTTTAAAATGTTTAATTAAAACACAATCATCCTTTTAGTTACTTTGATATATTCTGCAACTTACATTTGTTGGAGTCATTCATTTTACATCAAACTGTATTTCATTATTTCACTATAAAAATTACTATTATAGATCTTTTCTTCAAAAGGACTCACTTTAAGACTTCAATCTTTTGACCTTGTTTTTATCTCTTATTTCTCAGACGAAAAATTGTAATGTCGTCATTTAAACACGGATCTACTTCCAAACCCACATTAATACCAGAAATGTGTTGTCTGTCACATTATAAAACACATTCTCTGTGGGCATTTACAGTTACGCGTTAAATGATCCTGCTGACCACAATTAAAACACTCTCTATCTGCTCCAACTTATTGCACACTCTTGAAGCAGTGTGTCCCATTCAGGAATGCACACAGAGCCACTGATAAGCAGTTCTCTTATTCTTTTACAGTCCGCCAGTGGCGGATTTAATCACAATAGCCCAATCATAATCTTC